ACACACAACACACACACACACACACACACACACACCACACACACTTGCAGTCTCGGCCACGCACCATAAACCATTCACGGTGCACCATAAACCATTCACCCCAATTCTAACACATACATCTCTCCATGAGATAAGATCACAACATTCACGATTCATGGCCTCCTGTCTGCTCATGACAGGCGGTTCGGAACGCGAATCTTGCGACGCACCAGGATGTCTAACAACGACAGCTGACAACGCACAGGCGCTCCCACGGCCAGCTAGAAGACAGGGCTCAGGGACGCTCTGACTGGTGAGGACCTCTCCGTGAGGACCTCTGGCTGTGAGGACCTCTTAGAGAAGACGTGAGAGATCCTCTGCACTCACTGCCTCTGCAGCGTGCACCAGGCCCCGGCTTGTGTGTAGCAAGCTACGACTGCCGACGAGCGCGACGACGCGGTGAGGACAAGTCACAAGAAGTACCGCTCGTCAGGACACTCAGCGGCATCCGCCTAAATCTCTACATCTGGTGAGGACCTCTAGTCCTCTACGTGTCTGAGCTAACCGGCCGGTGGCAGTCGATCAAGAAAAAGAAAAAAAACTACTTTTGGGAGCGAGGGGGCGAAAGTGATCAGTGCGGTAGAGGGTCAGGACAGCTCGGGGCGCGTGAGCCGGACTTGTGATCCGGACGGCTTTCATTTCTCTCTGCGTTCTCGCACATGGAGTGCGAGCTCGGCTGTTGCCATCCCAAACTGTCACTCCCCTTTCTCTCTCCCGGCCGGGGTGGGGCGCGCGCGGGGGCGGCGGGTGTGCGGGATGTCTGTGGGCCCGAGAACGATATGCCAGGTGTCCGCCTTGTTTTGGTTTCCTAACATCGAAGGCCAGCTCAAAAAAAAAAGACCTATTTTGCAAGCGACTGGGTTCGTCACCCTGCACCATTCACCCCGATAAAAACACATACATCTATCCCTGAGATGAGATCACATTCACGATTCATGACATTGTTGACCAGCAGGGCGGTTCGGAACGCGAATTTTGCGGACGCACCAGGAGTATGTGCTGTCTAGCAACGACAGCTAGCTGACAACGCACAGGCGCTCCCACACACGCTCGGCCAGATAGAAGACAGGGCTCTGATGCGGCGACGAGAGGTCTGGTGAGGACCTCTCTGAGGACCTCTAGTCTATCGAGCTCCCCTCGCGCAAGGACCACATTTCTGACTCCCACTCCGATCATTTGCCTCCAGGTCATGTTGTTGCTCAGGTCCACTCTCTCTTCGAACACTCGTGCCTCTACGGATGATGCCGGCGCTGGGGTCCCCTTCGGATGCATCGTGACATCTGACAACTGAATTTCCACTGGTTCGTCCTCCTCGGAGTCATCTTCCCCGTCCTCCTTCCGTTCGGCTCTTCGCTCGGATGACGTATCAGCTGCCTGCGTGCCGCGCTCTTGGGTTTCTTTTTTGCACAACACTAGTGTTGTGCGAGGGAGTTTTGTTGTAAGATTCTTTTTTGGCGCACACCGCTGACAGCATCTCCGTGCTCGCCCGCGGCCGTGAGGCCAGCCCTCCAGCGTGTGTGCGTGGCTCCGAGGAGGGATGCTGGCGCTCCTCGTCAACGCGCTGCTCGCTTTTTCAGCCACGGGCAGGCGCGCCAAGTTTGACGCGATGGTCGCTTCGGTCACGCTGTCGCCGAGGGCCATCGAGTTCATCGACTCGGAGAAGCAGCGGCTGCTCTTCAAGGGCGTGCTCGCGGCGTCCGAGCAGCCGATGGTGGTCAACGCATTTGCCATCGTGTACGAGGATTTGGGGCCGGTTCGCGTCGCTGGCGATCTGATCGCCAAACAGCTCTCAAAGGTGGCGACGTCTGCAAACGAGAGGGCCGCCGCGTCTGGCGACGTGGCGGCGCTCTCGGCGCTCGCGGCCTCGCGAAACTTGTTCCGTCTCGTTGACAGCGACGCATCAGGCACCCTGGATCGTGACGAGCTACTACGTTCGCCGGTGCTGCTCGATCGGATCAGAGCAGAGGGCGAGAGTGACCAGGCGGCGGTCGAGCGATTCATGAGCTCCGCCGACACTGACGACGACGGTCAGGTGTCGTTTGTCGAGTTTGCGAGCGCGGCGGCGTCGGAGCCGGGTCTTCAGATGGTCGACGACGCCGACGGCGCGGATTCCCAGGCGGCCGCAGCGCTTGCGAGCGCGCGTGCTCTCTTTGATTGCCTCGACAGCGACGCCTCCGGAAGCCTGACCCGCGCCGAGCTCCTACGGTCTCCGTCGCTCCTCGCCTTGGTCCGCCACGACGGCGAAGATGACGAATCGGCAGTGAAGCGATTCATGAGCTCCGCCGACGCGGACGGCGACGGCGAGGTGTCGTTCGTGGAGTTTGCGAGCGCGGCGGCGTCGGAGCCGCGGCTTCAAATGGCGGACCTCGCGCTGGATGCGGCGCTACGTGCGGCGAGCGAGTCTCAGGGCGTGGCGATCGGAGGCGGCAGCGGAGGCGGCAAGCGGTCGATGTTTGGTCGCAAGGCGCCGGGCGAGCGCTTCGACGACATGCTTGCAGAGTGCGCGGTGTGGGAAGCCCAGCTCGACTGCACGCCCGACGCCTGCGATCTCCCGGGCGATGACGACGGCGGCGGCGGCGGCGACGGGGACGACCGGATGCTACTCGTGCTCAAAGGGGCGTTTGCGGGCAGTCGGTGCGCGCAGATTTCGGATGCGCTGAGGGTATGCTACCTCGAGTACTCGCCGTTGCGCTTGGGGGGAGACCTCATCTTTAAGCTCCTCAAGCGCATCGTGGCGTCGCAGATAGCCAGCCAGCGGCCATGATGATTGAATTGAACATGTCGACACCAGCCGTCCTCAGCCACCTCGACACCAGCCGGCCTCAGTCCCTATGTATACTGGGTGTGTTTGGACGTTTTTGGTTTCTTCAAAAAACGAAAAAAAAGCTCAGCGTCAGGGGCGGGGAACCTGGTTTGTGGAGCTCCCGCACCTTTCCTAGAGAGCACGGCATTCGGGGCCATGATCTCGGTTCCGCACTGGACTTTTTTTGTAGTGGAGAGAATTAGGGAATCTTTCTGCTCTGGCAGGCAGCTGCATCATTCCCCTTTACTTCAATCAGCTGTGTACACTCAAGTGCTATTACTGTCTGAATAGCTGTCTAGACGCTCCGATTTTGCTGTCTGGACGCTGTCTGGACACTGTCTGGACGCTGTCTGGACGCTGTCTGGACGCTGTCTGGACGCTGTCTGGCTCCGCCGCCTCCGGCTCCGCCTCCACCGTAGCCGCAGCACGCGCCTTCGCCGAGTCGGAGGTCGCTGTAGTCGGTGTCCGAATCGATGGTCGACCCCTCAGACACCTCCGCCTCCGCCTCCGCCGCCTCCCCCGGCACCCGCCCATCCCGATCATCCGCCTCGGCCGCGGTCACAGCCTGCTCGGACGCCTGGTCCGGGCGAGGCGAGCGCCCGCCAGACTGCGGCGAGTCCGCACCGCGTGCACCAGCGACGCGAAGATTCGCTGCCACTGCTGCTGCTGTTGCTTGGGCGGCGAGAAGCGCCGCGTTTTCGGCTGTCGCGGAGGAGGGAGGGCGGTCCGGCGGCGATGCAAAAGGACGGCGTGGCGGCGCCGCAAGCGCGTTCGGTCGCGCGCGCCCCGAGGCCGCCGTCGTGGGTGCAGCGTGCGTGCCTGACTGAACTGCTGGGCTCGCGCTTTGCCCAATGCGCAGCGGCGGGTCGATGTGCCTACTGCCGGCCCGCAGCTTCTTCATCGGCTGCGGCGCGGGGCCGTGGCTGCAGCAAGGCACCCGACCAATGCGTGTCCACGCTTGCTCTGCCCTTTCCTCAACACCTTTGCGACGTTGGCGTTGCCCCCCACAGTTGCCGCCACAGTTGCCGCTCGCCCGACTTCTTCGCGGGCACTTTGGGGACCCTTCTGTGAAGGGCCTGTCTAGACAGCTGTCTAGACAGCTGTCAAGACCAAACTACAAGTTCAAACTTCAAGTTCTCAAGTTCTCTTAGTTCTGCTGTCTAGACGCACCCGGCACCCCCCCCCCCCCTCAATGGCAAGTAAAGAAAGCGGCATGTGGATGGGTGGGTGGGTGGGTGGGTGGGGAGTGGCCTCGGCAGCGCCAGGGGTGCTGTCAGGGGTCGTCCGGCCACGACTGCGAGACTTTACTGTGAAGAGTGGAGCCATGTGCCGCTGTCTGGACGCTGTCTGGACGCTGTCTGGACGCTGTCTGGACACTGTCTGGACAAGCTCGCGCCACGGGTGCCAGCCGTGCCTCCGCGGGAGCCGCCTCTCGAGCCGCGTCCCGCCGGCACTGTCCCTGAGTGCGTCCCGCCTTGGTTGGCGACACGCACTCGACGAGGGCAGTCCAGCCGACGGGAACGTGTCGCGCGCCGGCGACGAATGCGGCGGGGTGGGTGTGGGTACCGAGCGCCGCTTCGGCGAAGCGAGGTTGGCAGGCGCCCCTCACGAGTCCGTTCAGACATGCCACACGCCCCTCGCAAGCGAGGTTAGTAGGCGCCCCTGGCGAGACCCGCAAGAGATGCACACACACACACACACGTAGAGGGAGCCGTGTAGCCCTCCTCGACCGTGAACCCTGGCCAAAACTTGCCGGCACCGGCGCCCGCGAGAAGGCGCCCAGGTCACTTCAATATTACTGGGTGCAGTCACAGTCTTACCCTCCTGCCTGCGTTTGGATCGCGCGCACCTGGAGAACCTCGAGAACACCACGACGGCTCCACAACGACGTCCACAACGACGGCTCCATGCACACAGACATGCGCGACGCCCGCGACGCCCGCGCCTCGGACGGCCCGCAATTGGCGATGGGCATGATGGTCGCGCCCTTCAACCTTGCGAAGCGATGGCTCGTCCGCAGCACCATGCTATCGGGCGGCCCCGTCCAGCGAGGCGAGGTTGTCTTCCGGTTCGTCGTTGGCCTCGAGGCGCTGCCGCGCGGCGAGAGCGACCAGCTGCGTGGTGAGGCGGCCAACTACTCGGACGTGCTGCTGCTGGAGCAGGCGCGCTGAGCGGCAGAAATCCGAGGCGGCGCACACATTTGAGATTGCACCGAGGCTCAGGCCAGCGCGGCGCCACACCGCAGGCGCTGGACGGGAAGAGCGTGGCGATGCCGTGCTCCTGCATCGAGAAGGTGCACGGCTGGTACACGTATGCGCTGCGCCGCTGGCCAGCCGCTCGCTGGTACGCCACCGCTTCGCTGCGAGACATGCCACGACAGAGGACACTTCACACCTAGCTCTTCGCGCCTCGCTCTAGGTACGCGAAGACGGAGGACGACACGTATGTCAACCTGCGCCAGCTGCTCGCCGACTTGCACTCTCTGCGCAGGCTCCCGGCGGTCTACTACGGGCTGATGAACGCGTGCGCCATGCCGCCGCTCGCCGCCGCCAGGCACACGCCCAGCGGGTACGCCGGCTGCTGGATGGGCGAGTTCGAATCGGCGGCCCCCGAGAGCTTGCGCCTCTGCCCTGTGTCGGACTCGAGCGCCTAAAGGCTGACAGCTCATCGTGAATCATCAACCCGTTAGGCGTCACTGGCCGCGCGGGCAGCCGCGAAAGTGCCACGGCGGGGCCCCCGCACCCTTCGCCACCGGCCCGCTGGACGTGCAGGCCGCCGAGGTTGCGCGCGCGGTGTTTGAGACGTGCAGCTACACGCGCCGCTTCATGGAGGTTGGCACACACACACACACGCACCCCCCCCACCCCCACCACCACCACACACACACACACACACACACACACACACACACACACACACACACACACACACACACACACACACACACACACACACACACACACACACACACACACACACACACACACACACACACACACACACACACACACACACACACACACACACACACACACACACACACACACCACACACACACACACACACACACACACACACACA